CACACACACACACAGTGAGAAAACTGCACCCTTAAAACAGTATCAGGGGGCTGGCCCCGTGGCCGAGTGGTTAAGTTCGCGCGCTCCGCTGCAGGCGGCCCAGTGTTTCGTTGGTTCGAATCCTAGGCGCGGACATGGCACTGCTCATCAAACCACGCTGAGGTAGCGTCCCACATGCCACAACTAGAAGGGCCCACAATGAAGAATATACAACTATGTACTGGGGGACTTTGGGGAGAAAAAGGAAAACAATAAAATCTTTAAAAAAAAAAAACAGTATCAGGATGCTAGGAAAGAGTAACAAAGAATAAAAGCTTCTGAAAGTTAAAATCAGTGCTAAAATTAAATCAATAGAAGGGCATGAGGATAAAAATTGAATCAATCTTCAACTAAACAGAATGAAAACAGAGATATAAAAGGAGAGAAAAGAGACAGAAAATCAATCAGGAAGTTCAAGCTTGAATTAACAGAAATTCTAGGAATAAAGAACATAAATAATAGAAGTGAGGGAATTAGAGAGAGGGAGAGAATTTCTCAGAGTGGAAGGGCAACAATCTTCAGAACGGAAGGACTCACTGTTCACTCAGGACCTGGAAATGGAGAAACTGGAACCCTTGTACATGGCTGGGGGAAACTGGAATGGTGCCACTGCTATGGAAAAGTTTGGTGGTTCCCCAAAATGCTAAACATCAAACTACCATATAACCCATCAATTCCACTCCTAGGTATATTACCCAAAGCCTGTGTTTTCTCTGGTAACCCTGCTCCAGAGTGATGTGAGGGTGCAGGTCGTGTATGTATTTTAGGGGATGGTTGTTCCAGGCAGGGAGAGTAGCAAGTACAAAGGCCCTGAGGTAGGAACACAGTTGGCATACTTGAGGAATAACAAGAAAGCCAGAATGTCTGAAGTGGTAAGAGCAAGGGGAACAATGGGAGATGGGCTGGAGATGCATCTGGGGCAGAGATCTCGTGTTGGGCCTTGCAGACCATGGCAGAGATTTAGGATTTTATTTAAAAGTGAGATGCAGTTATTGGGCAGTTTGGCACAGAAGAGTGGCTGGTGATTTAACAGAGCGACTCTGGTTTCCGTGTGGAGTAGAGAAACAAGGGTAGAAGTAGAGTGTCTGGTTAGCGTTCTCAGCTGGCAATCCAGGCAAAGATGTTGGTGGCTGGGAGCAGGTTAGTAATTACATTGGGGGAAGGAAGTGGTCAAATTCAGAACCTATTTTAAAGGTAGAACTCATTTGCTGATAGGTTGGATGTAGAGTGTATTTGAAAGAGCTTGAAAAAGGTTTCTGACCTAAGTGGCTGGGTGAGTGATGGTACGACGTTAAGATGAGAAATACTATGGGATGAGCAGGTTTGAGGGTGGCAGAAGAGTTCACTTTTAGAAATGCTAAATTTGAGATATGTACTGTACGTCAAGTTGGAGATGTGAAGTCAACGTTTGGATGTATGTGTCTAGAGTTGCGGGAAGCCCTCAGGACTAAAGAGTTCATTTGAGCTGCATCAAAATGGAGATGATAGTTAAAGTCATTACGTTTGAGGAAAAAAGTCTGTCAGTGTAGGTAGGAAAGAGGACCAAACTCTGGGCTATTCTAACATTAGAGGTTAGGAGGAAAAGGAGGAGAATTCAGCAAAGGAAACTGAGAAAGGGCAGCCAGTGAGGGAGGAGAAAAACCAGGAGAGGGTGGTGTCCCGGGAACGGCTGAAGAGAATGGCAAGAAGTGGGGAGACATCAGCTATTTCCACTGATGCTGAATGAGGACTGTGAATCGTCTGTGGCATTTTTCAATGTCAAGATTGAGGAATTATGGGAGTCATTGCAAGAATGGTTTCAGTGATGGGGATGAAAATCAGATTGGAGTGAGTTAAAGACAGAATAGAAGGTGAGAAAATAAAGACAATGCGTCTATAATTTCAAGGAGTATTTCTGTAAATGAAAGTGGAGGAATGGAATAGTGGCTGCAGTAGGATATTGGGCCAAGGAAGCGGTATCTTTGTCAATGATGGCAGTTATTATGACCTATCTGTAAACTGAGGGGAATCGTCCAGTAGAGAGGGAAAAATTGACAACTCAGGAAAGAGAGAGGAAGAATTGCAGGATCATAGTCCTTGAATGGTTGAGAGGAGATGGAATCTAGTTCACAGGTGAAGGGAGTGGCCATAAACAAGAGCCCAGACGGACCCATACGAACAGGAGGGAAGATTATGTGGGACAGATTTGGGAAAGAGGGTAAATGGGAGTGGGGGGAGGACTGAGAAGGTAGAGTTATCTTCTGATTGCAAAAGATACAAAAATACGCATTCTTTACCTTTCCCTTGCTGCCTGGGGTCTGTAATTGCAAAGATATTGCCAAGCCCCCTTAAAGATATTTTAATGTGATTAAGTGGGGGGAAAAATGGGACAGCGTGAGAACCATTATTAAAGCAGCCTAGAGAAGAGAAAATACCTACCAGGAAATGGAGAGAGATGGCAGGTCCAGAAGTTTTCTGCCTTCTCCTTGTTTCCTTAGGTAGCGCCACTCACAGGCTATTCTGTGGAACCCACTAAGGTGGTTTGAGGGCGTTCATTTGGATATCTAGACAGAGGCAGCTTCTGGAGAGTCTTGAATTCTAGACTGAGCAGTGTTGGTTGCCCGCTAGGACTCTGCAGGAGCCTCTGGATGGGTCTGAGGAGGGACAGCCATGAGGGAAGCTGAGCCTTTCGAGATATCGGATAAAGGGGAGGGGAGTGAGGAGTGGTACACGGTTTCCAGCTAAGGAGATGACAGGCTTTTGGCCCTTGGCCGATTCCATACAGTATGTAAATAATCCTAACAAGAGTTCACTTGTTTTTATTCCTGAGCAGTATTGCTTTGTATGAACATACCAAAATATGTTTATCCATTCACTTGTTGATGAACATTTGAGTTGTTTAGTTTCGTGCTATTGCAAACAAAGCTGCTGTGAACATCTGTGTACGAAAGAGAATGTGGCAAATGTTAACATTTGGTGAATTTGGGTGACGGGGATGTAGCTTCACTGTACTGTTCTTGCAACTTTTTGTATATTTGAAATTATTTCAAAATTAACACATAGAAGAGGAAGTACAATTCTTACTGAACCTCATTAAAAGACACTTTAAAATTTTTTATTTTGACAATTACCATATAGTCAAATTGACTTCTAGTGTACAGTTCTATGAATTTCAAGACATGTATAAATATCTAACTACTACCAAAATTGAAGGTTTCCATCACTCCAAAAAAAGTCCCTTCTGCTATCCCTTTATACTGCTGGGGCCCAGGGCAGGCCACCCCCAGATATCCCACAATACCATACTGATCATTTTGAATTAAAGTTACTTGAGAAGCAAAAATGGCCTTCTGACCCTCCCGTCTCTCCCCCTGAACCCCTGCCCCAAAGCAGGAAATGAATCTCCCCTGTGAAAGGTGCTCCCCCTCCATCCTTACAGGGCCAGGGGATTCAGGGCCGAGAAGCCTGCAGAAACAAGCCTTGCTAATTTACTACCTCAGGTCTAAACTCTGCTTAAATTCCTCACTAATAACCTACCCCAAACCTAAGTTTCTTTGTCCTGTCATTCCTCACGAATTTATTGTTTCTTTGTGTAAGAGGTACATACAGTGCCTGTTTTGTTCACTCTCTGAGCATCAGCTCTCTATGATCTCCAAGACCTATGTATTAAACTGTGTTTTTCTCTTATTAATCTAGTCTTGTGTCAATTTTCTTATCAGTCCAGCCGTAAGAACACAAGAAGGGTAGAAAGGGGATTTCCCCTCCTGGACAATACTCATGCTGTCTCCCTAGCCCTAACCCCGCCAACCACTCATCTCCACACCAGTTTCCTCTTTTCAAGAATGTCATACAAATGGAATCACAGTGTGCAACCTCTGAGACTAGTTTCAGCATAATCTTTAAGATTGCCGTACGTGTCCAAACCAACAGCACATGCCTTCGGACTGCTGCATAGCATTCACCTGTCGGACACTCAGGCTGTTGCCAGTTTTAGGCAATTATAGCTGGAGCTTCTATAAACATTTGTATGCACGTTTTTGTGTGAGCACAAGTTTCACTTCTCCAGGATAAATACACAGAGGAGCATGGTTGCTGGGTCGTCAGTAAGTGTATGTTGAACTTTATAAGAAACTGCCAAACTGTTTTCTAGAGTGGCTGTACCATTTTGAACTCCCACCAGCAATGTATGAGAGTGCCAGTCGCTCCTCATCTTAATCAGCATACGGTATTGTCAGGTTTGGGGTTTTTTTAGCCAACCTAATAGGTGCCTTGTGGTATCTGATTGTAGTTTGAATTTACATTTCCCTAACGGCTAATGATATTAAACATCTTTTCTTGTGCTTACTTGCCATGTATATATTCTCTTCGGTAAAATGTCTGCTCAAGTCTTTTGACTCTTTTTATTTGATGGGTTGTTATTTTCCCTGTTGAGTTTTAAAAGTTCTTTACATATTCTGGACACAAGTCCTTCCTAAAAGACACTTTCGATCTAAATATTATATATATTTAGTGCTCTTTGAAAATTAAAATAGTGATACAGTTCATTATAGAAAATATGGAATATACAGAAAAGTACAAAAAAGCCACTTCTAATCCCATCACCCTGAGGAATCTACTCTTGAGGGTTGTTTTTTTTTTTTTCCCTGCTGAGGAAGTTTCGCCCTAACAACTGTGCCAATTCTCCTCTATTTTGTATGGTTGCCACCACAGCATGGCTGATGAGTGGCATAGGTCAGTGCCTGGGATCCGAACCCATGAACCCAGGCTACTGAAGTGGAATGCACCAAACTTAACCACTAGGCCATGGGGCCGGCCCCTACTGTCAAGATTTTAATGGCTATATTTCTAGCATTTTCTTAGTACTTAATGATATTTTAAAATAGTAAGATCACAAATGAAGTTGTAAACTACTATTTATTTTAACATCAACATAGTATTAAATTTTCTTTTGCAACATAAAAATATCCAAGCTCTAAGCCTCCATGGACATGCAGATCAGCACAACAGCTGGCTTCTGCATGGTAGTTAAACACTCTGGGTGAACAACAAAACCCAGATTGCTCATTTGTTATGTCTATAACTTTTCTTTTACTAGACATGAAACTTAAAGCAATATAAAAGATTGAAAATAAAGAGATGAGTATGAGAAACCAAGAAAGAAGGATGGTAACATTAACATCAGATAAGGGGATATTGGTTAAATATAAATTGAAAGCACTAGACAGGATAAGAAGGAATTTATGGATGGCAAAATTTACAAACATAGGGCAGTCACTGTCCTGTATGAACCAAGCACATAGCAATGAAATACATAAGGAAACCTTTTGGAAATGCAAGAAAAACTTATTTAAAATACATTTAAGTAGGAAATTTTAATCCCACCTCTTTTAGAACTAAACTGACCTAGGAAATATATCAGAGAATTGAATTCTAAAATCAATAAACTTGAAAACTAAAACCAATAAACTTGATGTAACAGAAGCACAGAACTTCAATTACAAGTAGAAAATATACATATTTTAATGTCCATGGAATATGTAAACATTAATTATGTACTTGACAAATAAAATCTTAATTAAAAAGTACAGAACCTAATTCTCTGATCATAATAAAACTAGAAAAAAATAATAAAAGGATGATCAAAAAACTTAAATATTAAAAAAAATTATACCCGGTCCTGGATAACCCTTGGATTCAAGAGAAAATTACAAGTAAAATTACAACATATATAAAGAGGAATGAAAAAGAGAACACTTTATACTAAAACCTATAGAACACAAAGCAAGCTCTATGCAGAGGCAAATTTATGGCTTTAAAATGTCTTCATAAAAAAATGAAAGATTGAAAATGACGAAATTAGAAAAAATAAAGACTCACATTTGTATTAAGAAATTAGAAAAGAACACAAAACAAAAGAGAGTAGGAAGAGGAACTATCACAAAAACTAAAATTGAAAAATAGAAAATGATAAATAACAGTAGAAACAATAAACTCCAAAGCCGGTTCTTTGTAGAGTTCAACAAAATAGACAAATCTCTTGTGAGCCTGATTTAGAAAAAAAGAAAGCAAAAAATGTAAGGTTAGAAATGAGAAAGTAAAAAACCACATGTGCAGAAAAGATTTTAAAAATCACAGGAGAATTCTATGTCGAATACAATGACAACTAATTTGGAAAACTTTTTGGAAATGAACGCCTTCCAAGCATCCCAGAAAAAGTAGAAAACTTAAGTATTTCAATTATCATAGAAGAGACCAGACACATTGTTTGAAATCCACTATATAATAGTTTCAAAACCAAGTTCTCTATTCAGCCTTAAAAGAGCAGATAATTCTAAGGTTACTTAAATTATTTCAGATCATAGAAAAATATGAAGTGCTCACTAATTTATTTTAAGGGGTCTAGTATAATTGAAAAAAAAAATTTTTTTGGAAGATTAGCCCTGAGCTAACATCCACCACCAATCTTCCTCATTTTTGCTGAGGAAGACTGGCCCTGCGCTAACATCTATGCCCCTCCTTCTCCATTTTATACATGGGATGCCTGCCACAGCATGGCTTGATAAGTGGTGCACAGATCCAAGCCCAGGATCTGAACCAGGGAACCTCTGGCTACCGAAGCAGAGAGCACAAACTTAACCGCTATGCCACTGGGCCAGCCCCAGGATCTAGAATAATTTTAAATACCAGCATCTGATTAATATAGTACCAAAAACTCTGTCTATATACCAATCTCACTGAGATACATTCTAAATAAAATATCAATAAATGGTACCTAAGAGTGTATTAAAAGAATAATATACTTTGACCAAATGGAGTTATTTGGAGATCCTACTGTATTTTAATAGGCATTGTATCAAAACTTATTAATTTGTGATAAACTGATATCTTTAAAACATGGAATTTTCCCATTCTGGAACATGCAATCTCCCTTTACTTAAGTCTTTAAAGTCTTTCAATAACATTCCACATTTCCCACAAAAGTCTTGTGCATCTGTTGTTCACATATTCATATCATGTTCCCTTTTTTCTATTTTATTATATTATGTTCCCTTTTTTCTATTTTATTACTGGTATATAAGAAAAATTTAAGTTTTTACATGTCAATTCGTTAGGCACCTTGTTGAACCATTTAATTAGTTCTAATGCTTTGTCATTTCATTCTCTTACATTTTCTAGAAAGAAAACCACATCATCTGAAAATAATGTTTTCGCTTCTTCCTTTCCTAACATCATCTTTTTCTTGTTTTATTGAATTGGCTAGAAAATCTAGCAACATGTTGAATATCAGTAGTGAAAGTGGGTCTTCCATTTTTTCCTGACTTTAATGGGAATATCTCTTACGTTTTATCGTTAAGTATAAATTTTTGGTAAGTGCCTTTTATCAAGTTGTTACATACCTATTCCCATTCTGCTAAAAGTGTTTTCTTTTAAATCAAAGTAGATATCGGAATTTTTTCAGAAAACATTTTATCAGTTGAGATGATCATATAATTTAAAACCTCTACAACTATTTAATACAATGATTTATAGCAACAGGTTTTCTAATGTTAAATCATTTCTGGGATAGACCCTTTCTTGTTCTAGATGGAATGCAGGATTGAATTTACTAATATTTTATTTTAGAGCTTTGTATCCATGTGAGTTTGGTGAGTTTAGAACTGAAAGGATGCAGCTACAAGCCAAAGAATGCCAAAGATTGCTGGACAGCACCAGAAACTAGGAAGAGACAAGCAAGGATTTTAACCCGAGTCTCAGGGGAGCATGGCCCTGCTGACACTATTTCAGACTTCTAGCCTTCAGAACTGGGAGAGAATAAATAAGTTTTAAGCCGCGTAAGTTGTGGGACTTGGGTATGGCAGCCCTAGGAAATTAAAGCGGCAATTTTAATTTCTAACTTATCTTCCTAGCGCCAACAGTGCCATGTCCACGGTCCAGTTGGGGGCCGTGCAGGCGCTCCATCCCTTCCCTGCTACAGGGATGATGGGCGGGCAGCAGCAGAGGCCGTCAGGAGTCACCAGACGCTTGTGAGCCCCTGCCGTCAGAGGACGTGCAGCCAAAGCCCAACCAGGGGTTGCCATTACGACAGAGAGACCCGGGGCTGCACAGATCACCGAAGGCAGCGAGATGCTCAATACAACGCGGGGCGGCCGGGAGACGGGGCCTCGAGGCCCCAGAGGACGCCCGTGGGGGACGGAGGGAAGTTTTTGAGGACCCTGAGTCTGCAAGCCGCTCTCCAGACCACGCTGAACGGCTCCCAGTCCTGTCCCCAGCTCCACGGCCACCGCCCCGACGCTCCTCCAAGTGACCCCAAGAGACTGCGGGCGCCCCACCTACCGAGCAGTGACCGCGCGACGCTCTCGAGCCCGCGCGCGCAGCCTCCGCACCTCCCGCCGCAGTACGCAGTTGCGAGGGGCGGGACTTCCTCCCCACGTCCCGGAAACCGGAAGAGACTCTTTTTCCGCCGGAAGGAGAGCGGAGCTGCGAAGGTGGTGAGACCCCGGAGGGTCGGCTTTGTCGCGTGGGGTGAGGCCGCGCTCTGTTCGGTCGGTGGGGCGGGTGACAGCAGCGTCCTGGCGGGCTGGCTGGCGTATCGGGCTTCGGGGGATGCGGCGGGGAGCGGAAGTCGAGGTGAGGGCCCGGTGATCGTCTTTTGGGGGGAAATGAGGAGGAGTGGAGAGGATGGGGATGGACCTTTAGGTGCAGGGTGAATCCATCAAAGGTAAAGTCGGTGTGTGTCAGGAGTAGGAACCGTGTCCTTTATCTGCATTGTAGGTACTCCATAGCTGCAGATGAGCCTGTCAGGTCGCTTCTGTCATTTCCTGTCCAGCAGCGTTTGTGTTGTAACAAAACGCGAGGATGGATCTTTCATTACCTGTTACCTACCTTTACGCAGAAAGGCCCGGGGTTCATAGATAATGTGGTCACCGTGGATGACTTACAGCTGACTGTTATTTGAGCTCTCACTGTGAATACTTGCCGTAACAATTTGTGGAAATGTTTACCCAAAACACTGTCTGAATCAGAACCCAGCTATAGAGAACTCGTGAGTTGCCCGCAAGTCCGGCTGAGATGCTGTGGAGGGCGCTGCAGGCAAACCTCAGCTGTCTTAAGCAGTAATGCGTTTAGTACTCGTCCTGTTTAACTGTATTGTGCATCATCTCTATCATCTTTCTCATCTTATTAAATGGAAATGTCTTGTTGGAAAGTGGGCGAGCCTAAGCGGTCTAGAAAACAACGACGAGTTATTTTAGCAAATATTGAAAAGCTGTTAGTGTCGCATAGGGGAAATCTTACTACTGAGGAGCTCATGGGCTGGATGTTCATTGTCGGGGAGCCATGAATACCCTATATAAACGATTTTCAAACTTTTTGCTCTCGGGAGTCCCTTAAAAATTATTGAGGATTCCAAAGAGCTTTCATTTATGTGGGTTAGATACCAATATTTGTGGTATTAGAAATTAAAACTGAGAAGTATCTTTAAACACAAGGATACAGGCATACTTGTTTTATTAGGCTTCACTTTATTGCTCTTCGCAGATACTGTTTTTACAAGACCCTCCACCCGCAAAAAGATTACAGCTCACTGAAGGCTCAGATGATGGTTAGCATTTTTTAGCAATAAAGTATTTTTTAATTAAGGTATGTACATTTTGTTTTAGACATAATGCTATTGTGCACTTAACAGACTACAGTATAATACAGACATAACTTTTATGTGCACTGGGAACCCAAAAGATTTGTGTGACTTGCTTTATTGTGATATTTGCCTTGTTGCAGTGGTCTAGAACTGAACCCGAACTGTCTCTAAGATGTGCCTGTCTACAAGCACACACTCCGTTAGTTGTCAAAGTGATGGATGTCCTCACAGGTCACGGGGCCTCTGGTTAAACTCGGCTGCACATTCATGGAATGAGAGTGAAAAGGGCAAATAATGTCTTAGTGTTGTTATGAAAACAGTTCTGACCTGACTAAGCCCCTGAAAGGATCTCAGGGTCCCCCATAGGGACCACACTTTAAGAACAGCTGCTCTTTGCAGATGTTTCATAGTAATTTTAGATGGTGTAGACAAATGATTGCTGTTGCACCTTAAAAATGCAATAATAAGGACAGTGTTATATTTCCAAGACTTGTGTAATTCCAGGCACAGGGAGCACAAACAGATGTCCGTTTTGGGTTCTCTTCATCCTGTTGGTTTGTGTAAGCCTTCACACAGTGGTTCAGACCGACGCCTAGAGCACCAAGGGCTGAGAAGAGAAGACGCCCCAGTTCTTTGGCTTTGGACATGGATGAGCCGTAGGCGGTTTCTGTTTCACTCACTCGCTTGGCCAGTTAACTTGCTCACCTTCCCCTGCCAGTGACCAGCAGCAGGTTACACCTCTGTTTCCTTTCCCTGGCTTCCAGAATTCATAGGACTTTTCAGTGGAGTAGTAATTGCACAGAAATGTACCCACTCCTGAGTTCATAATTATTAAATAAATAGGTAATTTAATAGGTATTTAAAATGCCTTCTATTTTGCAGCAATCCTTGATAGTTATATGTGGTTATTTTGAGGAAATTGGCTTGAAGTTCTTTGAAGGGGTAGGAACTTATTTTTCCGATTTAAAATAATGAAACATAGAATCCCACTGTCTGAAAATTCTAGCCTTCCATCAACTTTTTAGGAAAGGATGAGATTTCAGTAATGAGGGGGGCCTCCATCTGATTCTCACTCTACATGTAATGCATACATGTGGCCAAAGCTGTCGGGGGGGGAGGGGCTGCTGTTTCGTACTGAGCTACTTTAATTGTTTGTTTATATCATTTGTGAGGAAGTCTCTCCCATAAATGATTTTTTAAAGACACTTGACATTTGAGAAGCAGTCATCTATGATCTTTATAAGTCCCTAAGTGTGTCATTACCTTTACAGCGTATAATTTCCTCCATAAAAGTCTCAGATTCTAAGACCAGCAGAGAGCCACAGAGTCATGTTGTGCTGTAATAATCAGATCATCCATCAGGCTCTCTCAGGGGGTAACTTCCACTCACCAGCTTCCAGGCCATAGGAACCAAATTTATGATTCAGAGCATTTAAAATATGTATGTTGCAGATCTTTGGGCTGTGTTAAGAACAGTTAAAACTATAATATTAAATGTGAGTCTCAGAGTTTCTCTTGCAGTGATGAAGGAGGAGCATTTTAAACCACATACATCTTCCCCACGCCCCAGATTCTTCTAAGCCCCTCCTGCTCTTCCCAGGTTAGAAGTCACTGAGGAGCACTGTTGCTAATGGATTATGTGGTAGATCCCTTGGGTGTAGTGGGACAGAAGAAAGGTAGAGAATCACTCGTGTGTGTTTTTACCCTCTCCTTTCTCTCCCTGCAGCGCACACAAATTTGAAAGCTAATGAAGAGGCCTTTTTTATTTGGCAGACAATTTGATGTTTTTTTTTCTCTTTTCAGGTATATGAGCTCTTTGAAAGCAGAGTGCTGTCGTTGCCATGTTCCGATCATTCAGAGGTTACGAAGGCACTGTTCCTGCCTTTGATTTGCTTAACAGTCGAGTGGAGTAGAGGCAGGTCATTGGTTGCAGTACAGCCTCTTAAGTGTGCCAAAAGAGGTGAGTGTGTGGCACTTCACTTGGCCTGGGAGAGGGAGGAATCAGGTAGTGCTTCTGAGAAGTGACCTGAGCCACAGAGGCATTAGGTGGACAAGGAAGGGGAGGGCCATTCTTAGTGCCTAGGAATCTGGCAGCTTTGTAAATTACAGATTGTACAAAAGACACTATCAAGTATCTTGTCCCTTTCTCCAGAGCTCTGTCTTACTTTTGGATAGTCCTGCTCTGGTTTTTTCTCTCTCACTGCCCCTCTTCCCCTTAGTTGGATGGGTATTTGGGATATGAAAGGAAGTCAGAGGGTAGAATCTTTCTGAGTTTGCTATGAAATAGTATGTGTATTCAGTAATTCCGTCTCTAAAATCTAAGTTCCTGCTTTCTTAAAATGCACAGCTGGGAAATCTCAGTTTTGTTGGTTGAGTGCTTTCCCAGTGGATGGATTATATTGTCTCCTGTCCCATCGATTTGAGTTTAACGGTATCTGTTAAGCTCCTTTCAAAGAAGAGACCCACATTTAGGCTTAGGAATGAGCATGGGGGATACAGCAAGATTTGAATCTGAGTAATATAAAACCACATTTTTATTGGTTATGTGTAGGTGACTACATGTTGCTTTAATCAGCTGCCAGTTGTTAAGTTGAATTTGCATAATTCAAATAAATGATAGTATAATTCTACCAGGATTTGAGTAAGGTGGAAATAGAGAGGAAAAACCTGATTCTGTCAAAGTCTGGGAAAATGAAGAAAAAGCAATCAGTCAGTGAGTCTGGCTTAACTTTTTTCTGGGATGAGGAATAACAGAAAACAGTGAAGTTGTAGGACATGATATACTTGACAAGGACCAGCACCTACTCAGTAGCATCTCTAAAATGGGTGCTAACTTGGGGCATTGTTGTGCCCAGCTCATTGTCACGCTCCTTCCAGGAGCCTTCCTAACTGATAGACGAGATGCTGACTGGCTGGAGTCTTCTTCCCAAATCACAAACTCTTATCTTGCATTTAAATTCATTAACCATTTGTTTCAGTGAAGCAAGAATATGTGAGTTCAAGTCTCTTAAAGCTTGAAGTTATAAAAGTAATAAATTATTATTCCCTTAATATCTTGACACACTAGAAGACAGTGTTTTAAAAGCTGGACTTGGTCATGTTCTTCTGGAGACTAAGAAAATAGAGTCCTTGAAGTCAAGCTGACTCTGCTTTTAGCCTCCTAAATGAAAAGGTAGATAGAACAGGTCTTGTTTGCAAAATAAATTCAAGACCTACTTATCTACCAACAGCAATGGTACGCTTTCCATTGTCTTCCCATAGAAAATAGGAATAGTAAATGTATAGATGAGTAAGGGTGGAGAAAGAGTGAGCTCAAGAGATTCTCGCTCTACTAATGGATAGGAAGGGGACCAGAAACTGGAGAAGGTGTTTAGGGAAGCGGAGGGGAGGACCTTTCCTGTAGTGCGGGCTTCACCAGGGTCTGGGAAGTTTTCTGTAGCTAAACCTCTTTGGATAGAGAGCCACATCGTCTCATTTGCAGAATGCCACATCCTGGTGGATTGTGCTGGGGGCAGCTGCCATTGTGTGAGCCATGTAAGACTGTGATTTTAACAAATTGTAGAGGATGAGAAGTATAAGGAAAAGGCCTTGTTGCCCATGCACTGCTTTATGCTGATGACCAAGCACGTGCCTCAGAAATACTTTATTGGATGTGTACAAGTGGTTACATATCATTGTTTGAACCAGCAGGAAGTCAGTTATTAAACGTACACTTTTCCAAATAAAAGGCAATTTAATTTTCCCAGAAACCAGCGTCATTTTATATCCCAAGTCTCTAACCAACTTTCCAACCCCATCTAATAAGGGTGCCTTAAATTCTGAGTATTCAGCATTACTAAACCCACGTTAGTTTACACCGAGACTCTGGTGGTTTTACCTATTCCCTTTTCCCTTTGTTAAGGTGGGAAAGCCAACGTTTATGTTAATAACGTGCCCAGGAGTTATAAAGTGATAGGTAAAGCTAAGAAAAGAACAGATTTCGATGTCTTTTGTTTTAACTGCCCAGTATCAGGAATTGTGGCTACAGTGGTCTGACTTTTTAAAAATCTTTTTCTGTTTTGTTTTTTAACAGATTTATCAGCAGGTTGCAGGTGAACATGGCTTTGAGGTAAATCCAGCCCCTTGTTGAAATTTAGTTTCAGCAGATGGTTCATGGCATTTTAAGGAATTTCAGTATTTTACGAAAAAAACCAAAGTTTTGTTTTGGTTCTGTTCTAGACTTATTTTTTCTTCTTCTAGAAGATGAGAAACATATTTAAACAAAGGTTCTTCATGCTGAATAATTGTGATGCAAGGTCATCTGCCTTGTTTAAATTAAGTGGATTTTAAATGTCAAAACTAATTCTAGACCATTTTTTCTTGGTCAAATAAACTTTTATTAAAACTTTATATGTGCTGAGTTTTTATCGATTTTATCCATGTTCATATTCATGTGAAGTGCTTCATAAAGCCTGTTAGAACCCGGAATTCAACTTTGCCTTATCTCTGATGTCCTACTTCCTGCTTGCTTGTTTGTATTTCAGAAGCTGAGAACATTTTTTAATATACACATATGTATATTTTAGTTGCTTGTAACTTGAATAATTTCTGTGCTTACTTTGGTTGTACCTTCCTTATTCCAGGGTAGTGATCCAGGTGGGCAGGGCAGGCGTGTGTGTGTGTGTATGTGTGTGTGTGTGATGAGCTGTAAGATTGTGAAGGTGAGTCCTTAATGCAGGAATCTGAACTTGTGTTTATACCAGTAGGCAGAGTTTTGAGATAGGAGATGAGGTGTTTCTTGTGTCAGACTTTGAGTGTGATGGAAAACATGAAAGTTTTAAAGTGACAGGTTTTTCAGTTAACACAAAACCTTAAGTGATGAGATGAGGGGCTTAGCTGTTTGGAGGCGTCCATGGGGCACGACCCTAAATTGTCTCTGAGAATTGCTTCACAAGTGGAGTCATTTACTCTGCCTCTGGACTCAAGCTTGAAAAGGCTGTGTGCAGAGCTTTAAGTGGCAACTAGAACCTTGAACTGGACAGCCAGGAATGCAGCTGATGGCGCTGGGCATTGAGGTCGCCAAAGGGCATGAGAGCAGTGAGGCGGCTGCCCCAAAGCTGCTGGCTGGAGGCCCCCTCTCCCACCAGGGCTCAGCTTTGCACCTCGGTGGGCTGCTGCCTTCTTTTAAAGGATTGTTGTGCATCTGCTATATGTCATAGACTGTTATGCATTCTCATGTTTGTCGTTAAATCTCCCAATCTTAAAAGACAAGTATTATTTTTCTCTCTTTAAAGGGAAAAAGAAGCTCCGGAAGATGATGTAACATTTCTAGGGTCATAAGGCAAAGTAACTACGAAGTAGCAGTCAAGCCTAGGTCCTCTGATTTCAAATCTGGTTCTCTATATTCCATGAGAGTTCCTAGAATAGTTGCAACTAATATTTTCTATTTTTTCCAAATCTACTCCCGCATCCCCCAGCATGCACCACATTGATGTGTAGGCTGCTGTGCGACCACGAAGAAGCGTGTAAGCGTAGAGTCCCATTTTTCCCAATCTTGTTGTCAAGTCGCAGATGCCCTTCTGTCCCTTCGTACTGCCTCCCCTCCAGGTTTGTCCATCTCCTGGCCGTAGGTCCTTTGTTTTAGTTTTGAAAGAGCCCTGCCATCCCTCACAGGAGGAGCAGTGAGAGGCAGGAGAGCAGTGCTTGGATGAAGAAGAAACTCATTTATTAGCAAGTATTTGGTGTGCACCTGTTGTGTGTTAGCCCTTAGGGATTCAGTGATGAACAAGACAGACACTGTCCTGCCTTCATGGAATCAGACATTACAAAGGTCACTTCAGAGTTACAGTGGAGTAAGTACCATGAAGGAGAGGAACAGGTTGTTAGAAAGAGTGTACAGTGGGAGAAACTCATCACAGTGCCGCTGACTACTGGGAAAACAGGAAAGGAGAAGGGCACGTGGCTCCCCTGCTTCTCTTTGTGGGTAGCCTCTTGCCTTCTCAAGTCTTTTTGGCTGACTAATGAAATGTCACTGGGGCTGTTAGAGCCACTAACACTTATGTATCTCTTCCCTCCCCCTCCCCAAGCTCTGTGGGCCTTGAAGACTCAGATACTTTGCATATACACAAATACACTAATATAATTTGATGACTTGAAAGACCTTCGAGATCATATAGTCTGAGCCTTCATTTTACAGCCAGGCCTGGTAACGACTAGCGTAGCATTACACAGGTGGCAGCACACAGGACTAGGATCCAGGTCAGGTGAAATGAGCACCAGCACACCAGGCTGCCAGATAATCACGTGAGCCATAAATTGTGCTGGGTGCCTGGTGCTTGAATGCCAAGTTCAACCAGCTGAGGCTTGAGTGGCTGGGAGAGGGGTTGGTACAGAAGAGAGACAGGAAGCTGGCCATTGGAAGGGTCTAATAGCAGGTGACATGCTTGGGCACTGAAATGCCATTATGTATCTTTAGACATCCGGGCTTTTCCAAAGAAAAACAGGGATGCACAAATTGGTGAAACTGACAACTGAATGTGTATAGATGCTGAGAAATGTCCATGTTGAAAAATGACAATTTTGAATTTTCATAGTCTAACAGAATGCCAATCTTCCTTGGGGAAACCGTTATTCTTATATCTGGAGTCGTCTTGTTGTGTAGAAATTCATACTTGTGCCTGAAGATTCAATTAACAAAACTTCAGAAATTCTGTAGATGGGCTATTTACAGAACATTTCATACCAATTTTATTCAAATACTCCTATGATTGTATTATTTTCTTTTATTAAGTGACTACCAAAGGAACAGGCCATTTCTAAAACTGTACTCTATCTCTTCTCTAAAATTTGGCCTAAGAAACTTATATTTTTAAACTGTTTTTGAGCAACTGCTTAACATAAGAAGCTTATATACAGTATGATAAACCGATATTGCATCAAAATATGTATAGAAATAGTACATTTTAAAAATTTAGATTTCAAGGTTCATATGTGTAATCCCCTGCAATAGAGACATTTGAAACAGGGAACCTAATGATCTTTTGTGCAATAAAATGGGCCTTTGGGGATAATCTGTGCACAAGTGCTCTTAAGGCATCCAGTCCTTAAACTTTCTGAGCGGGTGTCCGGGGCCTGTCACGGTTCCGTGTGGTGTATTGCCAGCGCCCTTTCACCACGCCTAGGGAGCTTTCCACCAGGAGCAGAGGTGGCTTCTCCTGCGTGCTCTGAGAAATGGCTGAAACCAAAGCTGGCCATAGGAATTTCCTGACCCTCCTACCTACAGATGTTTGAAGAGCCGTGTGCGCCAGCATGCTCGTCCACATGACTGGGATGAAATCCTTAGAATGCGATCCAGGTGTGTCAGAGCAAGGCCGCGGGTCTCCATCCCGCTTCATCTTCTCTTCCCCTCAGCTTTGTTTTTTAACTGAGCAGCCAGCAGAAGCTAAATGAGTCCTTCCCTCTACACTCCTCCCACCACCAATAGTCTACGACTGAACCGAAAAACACGAGTCAGCTAGGATGCCTTACCTTCATCCTCCACTGGTAACACACACACACACCTTTCCAAGATGGGACTGCTAGCGCTGGGCTTTTTTGCCCTTTCTCATTCTCTCTTCTGTCTCCTAACCTCCCCACCCCTCCCGCTGCACACAGATCCCTTCTCTTCCTTTTTGCTCCCCCAGTTTCTTCTGCCCCTTGTTCTGACCTTTCCAGGCGGGGAGACTTGGATTTTTAATCTTACTTCAGGCAGAATCTCCAAATAAAATATTTGGCTCAGTGCATAGGACTTCTTGCATTCCCCAAATTGGGTCTGAGTTTTAGGAGAGTCCATTATAGTCTAAATATCTTAGAGGTGGAAAGTTGGGCTTCCCACTTATACTTGGGCGTGACAGATAATGTTTAACCATGATGGAGGCTCACGGGCAAAGAACATCGGGTGGAACAATAGGATTCAGCAAATATGGGCCAGAGGCCCTGTAGTACAAAAATGTTTTTTGCAATTTTTGAGATGAAGGGAGGTTGTAGCCATGGCCTGAGCCTGAGAGTGTCCACTGGCCTGGGCCTCACGTGATTTTCGCAGCTTTATGGAACTACCCCATGTATGGAGGACAGAGGGCTCAGCAGCAGAAGCAAACCAGAATGAGCCGTAACCATTAAGTCTGCCCACGTTTACTTAAAAAGATGGAATTGAGGCTTCAAATCAAACTGCATCCATTTAATAACACTGCAGTTGAACATAAATGAAAAAAGCAATCACGTAGTGGTTAAGGAAGCTGTCTTTGTAGTCTGACTGCCTGGGTTTGAATTGTGTTGGGTGGATCGTGTTGGGAGCTCTGAATCATGGTGGGTGGATCTAACTACTGTGAGGCATAGCTCTCTTGTTTATAAAATGGAAGAATACGATGGTGAGGAGTAAACGAAGGAGCACATGTAAGAGTGTAGAACAGTGCTTAGCACGTGATAAGCTCTCCGTGAATTTAGCTGTTCTTATCTGAAAGAAAAGTACCCAAAGCTGCTCTTTCTCTTTTTATCTGGTCTTTAGGGAAATACCTTAGAATATTTTACAAAACATAATGTGGGCCTTAATTATTGCTAGTGAAAACCTCTTTCTCTGTTCTTTCAAAAGCAAATCTTAGTCTTGGGTAGCCAGATTTCACTTTACCTTGATGACACAAACGTGTGCCTCAGGCACCAGGAGAGGCTGTCTGCTCCCAGGTCCTCCTGTTTAGGGACATCTTCAAAGGCCACACCCACCGTGTAGTCCAAACGCTCATCCACCTCCACCTCCCAGTAGTGGCGCCCTCGGACTGGAATTAGGTTTCCCAAGACAGCAACACACCTGGTTTTAGAGAGTGGAAGCATGTGTGATTTGGGGTGACCGAAGCCTGGCAGTGCAGGTGGGTGACACCGACCGCCGGGGCAGTCAGTTGGGCTGTGAATGTGGAGGCAGGTGTGCTGCACACCTCCCTGGTGAAGCTCCCCAGCCTGGGCTCTCAGAGCTCCCCTGACTGACGCTGAAGATGAGGAGAGGACTGTCACACTGCTGGTCACGGGACAGGAGGAGACAAACCAATAGAAAATCTGTGTTTGCCTTTTTAAGTGGTTAGGCTTTTATAGGAATGGAAAAGGTTTGGTTCACTTATTCATAAAAAAGAAAGGGATTGAAATCTCACAGAAGGTAGCATAGGCGAGGAACCACAGGCTGCGGGTTGAGCGTGGAGGGTCTTTGAGCCGGTGCTGCCATTAGAGACAACTACAGGTAGAAGACGAGAATTCCCATCTCAGAGGCAGACCCAAGAACAAAATAGCCAACTCCTCACAAATTATCACAATCTGTCTCCAAGATTTCACTGGGAACAGCAACCCTTACGCAGGTCAGAGTTCTGTTTTGTTCCACAACAAAGCCCTGTACAGAGCAAGGTTCTCGGTGGAAATCAGGTCACGTCAGTATCTCCCAAGTGAATATTCCACCTCCTGCAGGAGCCTCCTACGTTAGCCAATCGATGGTGCTCCCCAAGTCCCCAGGCACATTTATCCAGCTGTCATTACCACATTAACTCTACTCTCAGAACCCCAGTTTCTGAGTGCGCACCCACAGCTTTGGGAAGGAGCGTGCACATTAGTGAACTCCTCATCTGTAAAATGAAGCCATGTCTGTTCCAACCTCCAGCCGTTTCCACCCCCCCATTGTTTCTAACTCAGAAGGTCCCAAACTGAAATGATCACATTCCTCCCCCTCCCACCTACGAAAGTTTGTGTTTGGCTGTGGTGGGGAGGGGTACGTAGCGCTCACGTGTTCTGCATTTTGCTTAATAGACTCATTACGCAGTGACCCAAGGCAGAAAACTAAGGAATAATATAGTGGCTACAAGCTCAGCTTCTAGTTTCATTCCGACTCCAGCTTTTAATGGCAGTGTGCCCTTGGGTAAATTTCTTAACTTCTCTGTGCCACAATTTTCTCATCTGTCAAATGGGACTGATAATAGCATGGCCCTCACAGGCTGTCGTGATGATTCAGTGAGAGAATCCATGCAAAGTGCTGGGACGGTGTCCAGCTCTTGAGGAGCACCCTGTGAATAGGGCAATGCTATGACAGTCCCTGCCTGACCTGTCCTTCTGCTGGCCCCTCAGCCAGTTGGCCGCTCTCCGTGTTGGTTTTGTGTGCTGATTATCTGCTGAATCCATCGCCCTCTTGTCCACCCTCCTGCTGATTTCGTTCAGGCCTCCACCGCCTCCTCTCTGGTCTCCGTGTTCCCCATCTGCCTCTCCCCTTCCTGCCTCAGCTCACGCTTCACCACATAGTGTGATCTTTCTGAAACGTAAATCTGATCACGTCATTCCGCTCCTTGAATTCTCCAACAATTCCCACCACCTAAAGGATAAAATACACACTTTTTTTTTGCACTGGACCTGATCTATTCTGCCTCGTCCTCCACCTCTTCCCATTATGGACCCTCTGCTGCCAACACTAAACTGTAGTTCTCCAAACGTCTGACCTTTCTGGCCCCCATTGTTTGTACATGTACAGGGCTCTGGATCTGCCTTGTTGGCCTGGAGAATTATTTATCCTTCAAGACCTTGCCCCTCCGAGAAGCTTCCTTCCTGAGACTCCTACGATGCCTTATTGGTACTCCTACCCTTTATATGGGTATCTTTTACAAATGTGTCTCCCCCACTTGCCTGAGTCTCAGGTCGGCAGGGGCTGTGGTTCCAGCTCTTGACCCCAGCACACAGCGTGGTGTCTCACACGCAACAGATGTTTTGGTAACAAGATATATGGGACTCTAACGCAGCTTGGCTGGACCCCAAAAAGCCAAGAACAGGACAGTAGGCGGTGAGTAGTCCCATATTTCAACATGAGATACTATACCACCTACACAGGACTTGCAAAGGAGGGGGCCAAAAACTGGTTTTGCAACTTTTAGTGTAACACCAGCAGGTTGGAACTGAAGATGCTTAAGGCTGTGTCTGCTCAGAGAGCTGTATTTTTTTTAAAGATTGGCACCTGCGCTAACATCTGTTGCTAATCTTTTTGTTTTTTTGTCTCCTTCTCCCCAAAGCCTCTCAGTACATAGTTGTATATTCTAGTTGTGAGTCCTTCTAGTTGTGGCATGTGGGATGCCACCTCAGCATGGCCTGAAGAGCAGGGCCACATCCGCACCCAGGACCCGAACCAGCAAAACCCTGGGCCATGGAAGCAGAGCGTGGGAACTTAACCACGCGGCCATGGGCCGGCCCCCCAGAGAGCTTTCTCATAGCTCACACACAGAGTGGAGCAGGTGTGTGTTTTCAGAGGACCAGGTGTGACTGGAACCCACCAGAGGAGTGCTGTCTCTGTTGTTTTGAGGGGATTCTGTCCAAGACAGCTTCCCGCAAGGGTTGAGGAGACCTCGGCAGAAAGAGCCTAGAGTTGTAGTGTTGGAGGTTGATGGGTTGTGAGGGCCACAAGAGGCAGGGGGACTGCCATCAGAGGGGCCTACCTGGGGGATTGCTGAGGAGCCCACGGGCATGCCCGTGAGGGAAAGAGTCAGCTTTAAACGTCACACTGGTACAGCCAATGTTGAAAACAGGACAGCAGGCCCCGAATGGAGTCCCTTAGGGTAAGGGACGTCACCAAACCGAGACAAGTTAGTTCCAGTTTTGGCTCTCCCAGAAACGGAATCTTAAACCTGTTGATCAGGAGTCGCCTGATCAGCACCAGTTGGGCGATCCGCCTGACAGACTCCTGCCATCCCCTTGAGGAAAGTAACCTTGCCAAAGCCAACCCACCGCTTTGCCTAGTGTAGCTTCCTTGTTCCTGCTCCCTTGTGCCTATAAATGTCGTTCCTTTTGTGCAGCTCCTCGGAACTCCTTTCTGTCTGCTAGATTGGAAGCTGCCCAATTCACGAATCATTGTATAAAGCCAATAAAATCTTTAAAATGTACTCAGTTGAATTTTGTTTTTAACACAAGTAGGAGCTTTATTGCTTGGTTCTCCTCTCCATGCCCCCAACCCTGGGTTGAACGGGCAGAGGTGGGAAAGGATAACGTTGCGTCCCACCATGCCCTGTGCAGTGCTGCTCTTTCACGCCAGTGCTCACATGTAGGAGGTGTGTAACACATACGCAGTGAAAAAGGCCCGCGGGCAGTCAGCGTGGGGACCGGGAGGACCAGGCAAGGGGCCTGGATGCAGTCTTCATCAGTGCACCTCCGGCCCCCATAGGAGAGCCCCTTTTCTGTCTCAGAAGATCTTCTTGACTCTTAAGTCAGCCTACCGAGACCTCTTTTTGCCCTGACTACTAGGAGGCTGAGAGCCACGTTTAATGTTTAATCAATCTTAGGAGCAGAATTAGCTGTTGCCTATCTATGTTCTTCTTTTTCTTCCATTGCTTTAATTTTGCTGTTACAGTAGAGTGCATTTGCCCCTTATTTCAGTCCTTCTTTAAGTATTTGGAAGGAAAGTAGATATAAATCACTTCGACATCGCATACTAAGCTCTGGAAAGAGCAATAGATCTAGACAGACAGCGTGCATCTTTGGTGGCCACCCCCACTTCTGGGCGCACACTGGTGCGGGCACCGTTTTCCCCACTGACTCTGGCCGAGGCTCGCTCGATCACCAGTTTCTCCTGGGGGAGCTTTCGCAATGTGGGGGAAGGAGCACCGGGCTCTCACTGGGAGGCCGGGTTCTTGTTTCTGTGCTCTCACGGCCGGACACATGACCCTCATCCCGTCGCCTCCCGACCTGACTCTCCAGCCCTGGCAGCCCTGGAGTCAGTGGCCACCGCAGTCTCTTCTGCCTGCACCACCCGGATCCCTTCTCCCCCATCCCCAGCCTCCCCTCCCTACCTGGCCCCTATCCCCACACTCATTTCCGGGATTTCTTTCCCCCTTCAAGGCTGCATCTGTTTGTCATAATCCAGTTTTACCTGAATAACAGCGTTACTAGGGAGGTTCACAGAATGTTCCAGTGAGCGGTTGATAAAGTACCTCGTAAACCGGGTGTTGCTGGCGGGCAGCTCCCCTGCGGAGGTCTTCCTTTCGCTTCGTACAACCGTGAGCCCATCCTCAGAAATGGTCAGCCAGGGGTGACAGGTCTGCTCGTTGAGGTGGAAGTAGCTGCCTGCAAGGGGAGGACACACAGGGAGGTCCCCAGCCAGTCACGCCACTGCCTTCTCAACACTGACCCTCCCTGCAGGCAGAGGGCTGACGACACGCCGCCGGCTTAGCTCCTGGGTGATGCTAGCAGGCCTGGACCTCCAGTAATAATGACCCTCGCGGTAATGATGGCCATTACCATGGACAGGGCTGTCACTGTGTGTTGAGTACTAGGCTAAGCTGGGTGTGACTCTTAACCTCATCCAGTCCCCATAGTGACCCTTAGCAAAGGATAGAACTCAGACTCGAACCCCAGCCCCTCTGAGTCCAGAGGCTGTGCTCTTACCTTCGAGGCTATAAATGCCTGCACAGGGACAAGAATTTCTAACCTACCTGCCGAGGGAAAACGGTACTGAGGGAATTCTTAATGATCAATATGACAAAGGTTTGCAAAATTCAACATTCGACTTCCACTTAGGGCACTGGGGAAGAAGGAAGGAGATATAGCCATCCCTAAATCAGGCTTACACAGCTCCTCAAGAAGTAGAACAGAATAGACTGAATAAAAAATTATTTAGTGAAAAAAAAATCTATTATGTAGGAACATAGAAACTTGTTCTCCATTATCGTCTCTTCGCCAAGCTCCTCTTTTCTTAAGTTCCCATTCTATCACTTCTCATTGTCTCAAACCCTAGTTCAGGCATTGCCATCAAGCTGTGCACAATTATTTTCACAATTCGATGCTGCTGGAAATTTCATTTGCTATCTGAGCTGACTGGCGAGGGCGAGGCAGCTTCCCACCCTGCAGCTGACACACGTGCAGCCCCTGCTCCCTGCTCCCTAGTCCCAAACAAGGATTATTGTTGAATATATAGTGTTTTTTGCTGATTCATGTTCACTTAAGTTTTTCATAAATACACTCTTAAAAAATTATTTGAACAAACGAATTCAGAGAGGATTGAATCGTCAAGAGCTGGCTGTACCTTTGCTCTGTTCTCTTTTATTGAAACAGCCAGAATTTGACGTTTCAAAACACCAGGTCAGCACAGGAAATCAGAAGTACCAGCCAACCAAAGGGAGGCCCAGCACATCAGGAAAGAACACCCTCATCCTGACACCAGGGCTCAGCCCCACCACCTTCCGGGGCCACTTCCCTTGTTTTTCCATCTGTGTGGAAGGAACACAAGTGGGGGCTAGTCCCATACCTCTCCTCCTGGCATTAGAAATGAGGACATAATGACACAATGGCCCTCAGTGAAAGAGCCCCGTCAAGGGATTGTTGTCCCTGGAGCCCTGGGCCCAGGCTCCTTCTTCTCTTGCTCACCTGCACGTCACTCAATCAGCCAGCCTGGGCAGGCCCTGCTCTCTCAGGTGTGAGAAGAGCCACCGTGGGCAAGCTCAGGACACAAAGCCACAGCAGCCTGGGGACAGCAGGAGGTGTATGGCACGTTTCTAGTGATGGCTCTGCTCACTCGAGACTTGGACAGGACATGTGACAATTCGATGGCATCAAAGGCAAGTGAGAAGTGGGGAGGAGCTGGACTTGGGGATATGGGTACCCACTAGGGCCAGTCAGGGCCTGGGGGGAGGCGGGGGCCAGGTCTGAGTTGGGCCTGTGGGTAGGGAGGTGCTTGGGCTGATAATGGGAACAGGGAGATGAGCCGAGGAGGAATTTCCTAAAGACCCCGTCCCAGGGGTGGTGTTCAGCCTGTGTGAGGTATGAGGTGTCCGGGCCACCCAGGTCCAGCGTGACAAGCCTCCAGCCCTCCTGAGGGGCGTGGAGATAAACCTTGAGTTCCAATGCTTGCTCAGCCACCAGGTTGCTCTACGCCCTGGGCCTTCAGTCTCCGCATCTGTCAAGGGGCACTGCAGGGCAGTGCTCAGCCCTGAGCCCTTCCCGCCCTGACGGGCCACGTGTTCACATCGGTGAACACACCTAGCTCCCTGGCATATCAGCAGGGAGGCTGCCACAAGCAGTCTCTCTGGGTCCCAGAGAGTACGTGGCAGGGCACAGACCTGTGGTGTGGACCGTGGCAGGCTGGCTCCTCGCGCTGGGGCCCCCCATGTTGAGGGCGCGCACGTAGATTGTGTAGCTCTGCCGGGGCTGCAGCTGCACCAGGGCCTCGCAGGTCGGGATGCCCACCACAGACCTGGGCGGGGAAGCAGAGCTGCAGTCACTGTGGGGCGGTGGGCCCAGCACCAGGCCAGCCTCGCGAAGCTGGGATGTTTAAGTCACCTTCGTGCCCCCCTCCTCTGACCCACATCAGCATGGCCTCGAGTGTCAGCCCGCTTCCGTGCTCCCTCCAACGGCCTCGGGGCCACTTTCCTCATTTCCTTGTTCCTCCTGTGGTTGTCTGCCCTCCAAGCTGCCCACCCCGGTTTCCCAGACCCGTAGCACGGTGCTTGGATGCGTCTAACGCTGCATCCGTGGAGGCGAGCACGGCATGCAATCCAGCGTGCCTCCATCTGTCTCGCGGGATCAGAACCTCTCAGAGCACGAGGACCATTACCTCAGTACAGTGCGGGCCCAGGGCAGGCTCTCGATCTGTCTTTATGAACAAGGGACTCTGACCAGAGCTGAAAAGGCCCACCAAGCCCACTGCGGTTAACCCCTTTGAGAGCAGCTGCCTGTTGGGAAGAAGCCAATCTATTCCAGTTGTACCCCACAGGAACACAAGCCTGTAATTGCCACTGTCTGTGTTCCTGCGGTTGCCAACTCCATTTCAGTCCACTGGGGAAGAGAAGCCTTCAGAGTGATGCCTGTTGACAGATATGATGCCCTCGCCTGACGAGGCCAGGCTGTCCAGGTCACCTCTGAGGCAGCCGCTCCAGGCCAGAGGGCGCTTTTACATAGTCATTCAACAAACATTAACTAAGCACCTTAGGTTCCAGGCACTGTATAGGGAGGCCCTGGGGAAAACAGAATGTAGTCCCTGCCTTCATGGAGCTTACTGTCTAGACAGGAAGAGAGGCACTCCTCAAGTCATCCCTGGAAGAAATGGAGGATGGGAACCATGACAAGTTGAAAATAAGGTGTACAATAGGGGGAGAGGTGATTTTTGAGCTGAGCTCTGAATAATGACTATGAGGTGATTGCATGAAAAGTGAATAGAGGAGTCTCCTACATAGAAGAAGAAGCACATGCAAAGGCCCTGTGGCAGGAAGGAGCATGGGAAGTAGGAGGAACTAAAATATGACAAGTGTGGCTGGAGCCAGACAGGGAGGAGGAGCTGGTGTGGGATAAGCGGGAGAGGCAGGAAGGGGTCAGAAGCTGTGAAGGAATCTGCCTTTTCTTCAGAGCAATGGGATGCCGTGATGAGATTTGTGCTAGGAAAGTAGGCGCCACCCCAGATCAGATGACCTAGGTCGCTGACCAGCCTTCTGAGGACCCCCATCATTATGGGCTGGTCCCAGGTGTCAGATGCTCCTAAAGTATCAGCACAAATTGCAAGGGAAATCTGACCCATCCAGGGGGTCCAGAACCCCTGGACCCTCCCTCCCTGCACCTGAGTATCTCTAGAAGTGAATGACCAAGGTCAGCCCTGATGTGGCTGTGGACACAGGAACTCTACTCGGAACAGATGGCTGGGTGGGATGGATGGTCAGGCACCAAGCCTGGCATTTAGCATCAAAGAATCTGCCTCCCTAACCGTTGACCCCAAACTCCCCCTCCTCCATTTCTCCAGGGCCAGGTGGGTGCATCCCACGCTGCACAGCAGGACAACCGCGGGACTTGGTGGCCGGTACTGGGCTGCCTGGCTGGTTCACTCCTCTTCCGGAAGCTTCTAGACTGCCTGGTTGTAAACCAGAGGTACATCCACGTCTCCTCCACTGTGCACAGCTGTAGCCTCGCAGGGTCTGAGCCCAGCCCTCATCCACCTGTGAAGCCCTCCAGCTCTCCACCGCCAGGGGACGAAGATGAGCTTCCAGGTGGCCGACTGGCATGGACACAATGTTCTCTGTACGTTGACCTCTGATCGCTTGTTTCTGCCTCACGCCGTTCTCCCCTTCCCTGTGGAGTCCCAGCCAGGTGGGTCTTCCCCTCCCCCCAGTACGTCAAGCTCACTCCTGCCCGGGCACGCCCCTGCACCCACGATTCTCAGAGCTCAGTCCTTCCCATTCCCCCGGGTCTCAGTTCAGACGTCCACTCTGTCCAAAGTAAGTCCCCACCTTCACCACGTTCTCAATCTTATTACCTTCCTTTTTCTGTCATACCACGGTGTATGTTATGCATTTGTTTGTTTTCTCAGTTTTTATTTCTGCCACTCGACTGTCAGCTCCATACGGGCCGGAAATTTGTCTGTCCAGTCCACTAACAGTGAGGCCCACGGCCTGGCGCCACCTAGGGCCGCAGGCCCTGTCGAATGAACGATGGTAAACCTCAGCTGGGCTAAAGCAGCAACCCTGAGCGTCACCCACGGGTTCTTACCCGCTCTCTCGTCACTCACCTTCAATAATGGCAGTCCAGCTACTTCTCACGAAAACTAAGCCTCCTAAAACTAAGGTCACCAATTCTGACCATCTCTCCAGACTCTGCGCATCTCCTAAGCTGTGTCATTGTGTCAGGTGTTGAGGCCTCTCGTGCTCAGCAAATGCCCCCCGTGACTCACTCAGTTACGCCCGAGGCCTCCGGCGTTTCCGCCTGGGTCAGCTCCACCGTGTACGAGTCCACAGGATTGAGGTTCCCGGACTCCCAGCAAATCAGCGCAGCCTCTTCGCAGCTCCTTATCTCTTTGCTTTTGATAACGGGAGGAGAAGGCGCTAAAGGCAGGGGAAAGGAGAGACCAACAGCCGTTCTGTTCATATCCAGCCATTTCGTCCAGAGAAGGGGCAAACCTCAGCCTCTCTCCCCACAAAAGAGACTCAGTGCAAGCAAAAGCAAAGCAGCTGCTATCGACTGAATGTCTGCGTCCCCCCACATCCGTGTGTGGAAGCCCCTTTCCTCCCCGGGAGGACACAGTGAAAAAGACAGCCGTCCATGAACCAGACACGAATCTGCCCGCGCCTTCATCTTGGCCCTCCCAGCCTCCAGCACAGAGAGAAATAAATTTCTGTTGTCTATAAGCCACTCAGTTTGCAGTAATTTGTCATACAGCCTGAACGGATCAGGACACCAGGGAATTCCTTTCAGACGCTCCTGGAGTGGAAGGAAGCTGCAAGGTTCAAACAGTACCGCGACCGAGAGCGTACTTTTTGATGTTTTGAGACCAACTAGGAGAAATGTCCCTGCCGTACCAGGCATTTAGATTTGGTGTATTAAATGAAAGAAAAAAGTACACAATTATTCCTGCCCTTCCAGATGAAATCAAGAGCCCTGCCACATCGAGAAAACCGTGCCTCCCCTTGAAGGACAGTCCTGCCACAGAAACAAGCGGCCCCGTTACCTGTCATGTACACTGCGCGCTCACTGGCAGGGCTGAGGCCAGTCCTGTTCTGAGCTGTGACCCAGAATTCATACTGGGTATTTGGCACAAGGTTTGTCACTGAGCAATATGTTTCTTTGACGGTCATTGTAAACTCTGGAAAAAGAAAAAAAAAAGGCAAGAATTCAACCCTAAAAGAGGCCAAGTGGCTCCAAATTCATTGTGCTGAATCCCCCTGTAGTGGATTACAACACTGGCCCCCAATTTCTCCCAACCCTGTCTGCACGGCCCCCTGCAGTGTGCCTTTGCTGATCCTTGTATTGAGGGGTGCTGTCTTTCTAGGTGCCGTCTTTCTCACCATCACTTGAAGCTGGGCATAGCCATGTGACCTGCTTTGGCCAGTGGGACACTAGCAAACATGAGGCAAGCAGAGGCTTGGGAAGTGCCGGTGTATAGGGCCTTGTCCTGCTGCTGGGAACACCTCCACTTCCACGGGAACCAGTCTGAGTAAGCCTCTGGAGGCCAAGACCACGTGGGCAGAGGCCCCAGCCATCCACGTCATCCCAGCCATCACTGCTGAGGCCCCAGATACATAAGCAAGGCCACGTAGGCCATCCAGCGCTACCCAAGCTGGCCCAGACCAGAAGAACTACCCAGCCAACTCACAGAATTGTAAGAAATAATAAATGTTTGTCATTTTAAGCCAATAAGTTGTGTGTGTATGTGTTGGGGGGGGCGTGTTGTTACACAGCAAAAGCTAACCGATACGCCTCCAAACCCCTCTAGATTCTTGAAAGGCAGTGATAACTCATTAACCCACCCTGTGACATCAGTTCCTTTATAACAAAGTGGCCTGTTTCAAAGACCTTCCTAGATTACCATGACACAGCCCCAATGCAATGTCTGCTTCTGTGTGTCTGCAGAGGACACCAGCAGGGTTGATTCATGGCAAAAACTGCAATTAATCAGACCTACCTTCTTGGACCCCAACCTCCCTTTTCAAATGTCCCCTTTTCCCTCCATGCCCTCTTTAGTCCTTATTCTGACCACCCTCACCCTCACTCACCATCGCTTAAACTTACTCTTCCTTTTCTCAAGAATTCCCCTTTCTTCCTGGTCCCTGAGCAGAAAAGCACCCTCGCCTTCGGCACTCAGAACCCTCCACCCGCACGACCTGGTACAATGAGAAGAGCTCTAAGCAGGAGCCTGTGGCCTTGGTTCCTGTCCTGGTTCTTCCATAACTCACGGTGTCCCCGTGGACAGCTCATTTCTCTCTGGGTCTCAGCTTCCTCATCCATCAAATGGAGATCTCTAAGTCCCTTTCCGGCAATCTTGCTCTGACGCCATGCACACAGGACAGGCCCTGCCAGGCGGGCCCTGACCCCTGACTCCTTCATATGCTCAGCTGGGGCTCCTCTGCTGTCTGACAGGAGAACAGCTTATCCATTATGAGGGGTGAGAGGCGGGGAGGAAGCTGCCCCGGCCCTAACCCCACACCGGCCAGCTCCAATTCCCCAGGGAGAGGATGGGCCAAGAGCTGTCCACAGTGATGGCTGGAGGCCCTTCCCAGGACCTGGCTCCCTAGGGGGATGTGGATCCAATCAGCAGCCGCCCTCCAGGCGGCAGAGCCCCACGCGTCCCTCATGGGGATCTGCAAATGAACGCTACAGTTTCTCCCAACACAAGGTTGCTCTGAGAGAGCCTGCCTGCCCTCACATGCCAGGACCTGCTAGAACCCAGCCAGGCCAGCCAGGCCTCCTCAAGGAGGGGTGTCCCCCCATTCCTGCACACAGTGCAGCCAGAGACTCATCCCAAGGACAACTCCCACCCAGCAGCTGTAGCTACCCTCCCGACACCTCAACCTGGCCTTGCGGTCTTCCCCAGTCTTGCCTTTCTAGCCCTTCCTGCCATGCTCACCCGCCTGCAACCCATCCTCTGGGTAGTTCCCAGATTGCAACAGTTCCATGGAGCTGGGGGCGCAGATTCACCCCATCCCACCTTCCCACCTGCCAAGAAGGCAGGGCCCCAGCCTCTTGGGGGCCTCAGCCATCCCGGAGCAGGGTCATGTTCCTGGCAGAGCCTCACCTGTGTGGTCCTTCCCAGGCGAGCCATCCTGCACTGGCCGGTAGGATAGCTGATAGCTCTCCACGGTGTCGTCAGAGTACAAGCTCCAGCACACCCGGACCGAGAAGCCCGTGGCCGAGTTGGGGGCCTGTGGGTTTATCACTGGAGCAGAAGGAGCTGAAAAGGAAGAGGGAGAAAGACAAAGACAGATGAGGAGGCTTCAGCAGAGGTGGGGATGGGCCTTTACAGGAGCACTCATGCCCCAGTGCCACCCTGGGCTTTGGAGTAGGAAGAGGCAGCCTGGAGTGGACAAGGAGAGGAAGGCCTGACCTCCCAACCACGAGCCTGGAAGCAACAACCAGCATGTCCATTTCTGCTCTGACACATCCACGCGAGCCAGGGAGGAGGGGTCGGGGACAGGGGCTCAGGCTGGGGCCTGGTTTGCAAGTCCTGCCCCAGGTACGGGTCCTCTGACCCTTCCACGCCATCCGAAGAAGCAGGACAGCGAGGCCCACAGCACTGCTGCCCGCAGCCCTGGAGTGAACTGAGGAGGGGACGAAGCCTTCCACAGGGATGCTCCATCCAGCAACCGCCTCCTTCATTACGATGAGAGAAGACTGGGTCTGGCCAAATTGTGCTTTTCAGAACCAGCTTCTTTGGAGTCCATTTACCGTGCCAATTCTTTTCTTCTCTGTAGGTTAATTCTTCTGCCCCCTCACCCCCACACAGACCCACACACAACAGAGAAACACTTGTTTTTCTTACATAATTCTCCCATGGCAGCACCTCCCTCCATCCCAGGCTTTTAAGAACATCCTCAGTTTCAAAATTTGAAATTACTCAATCCAGGTAAGAGCACAGCTAAACGTAAAGGAGTTCATTAGCCACAACTCAGTCTTTCCTTCTTGGTCAGGGACTGGAAGACCCCACGTGACAAAGGTGAGGAAGAAGAGAAAGAACCTGAATCCCCGAACGACCAAGTCCAGGCCGAGTGGGAGACACCCTTCTACACCCTGTGGAGGAGAGCCCCACAGCAGACGCAGGAAGAGGGAGGGCTCTGGGAGCTGTTAAACTGCCCAGGGGTCTGGACGCAAGCAGGAGGGTGATGGTCCACGTGGGACCTGCACACGGCGGGGAGACGAAAAATGTCGGTGCTTCTCAAGCACTGACTCGGGCGACAGGGCCTTTCCTTCCAAATGACTGGGCCTGATTATTCGGGCAGCACCTTCTGGGAAGGGAGGAAGGACCATCCAATGGACATCAGAGCTCAAAGAAATCTCCTCTTGACCCAGTGGGCCAGAGAGGTTAGGTAAGTTGTCTAAGGTCATACAGCTAGGAAGTGGTGAAGGTTGGCTTGTCACTAGTTCCACAGGATTCCAAAGCCCATCTCTTGACCGCTATGCTAAAAACAGCTACCCAGGAGGAACATAAATACATTTAAGGACATGAAATTCAGGCTACTTGCTTGGTGTAAATCAGGCAAGAGAGCAGGAGTTTATGCAGCCAGGCAGGCTACGAACAGAAAATAGTTCAAGGCTGCCTGGGGCCAGATGTCAGCCCCTGAATAGTGAGGGGAGCACTTACCCCGAGGAGGTCAGCTTCTGCTCTCACCCTTACAAGCCAGAAAGACAAAAACATGGAGCCAGAGGGAAAAAGTACTTGTTTCTACATCTTTATGATTTTCTTAGCCGTCAAAGTTTCTAACTCGAAGCTCGGGGCTGGGGGAAGTTGCTGTGAAGCAGGCCCCCGGGTGAGCTATGCACCTGGGATGGTGTTAATGGCGCCCATCAGCTGCTCCACGTCCGAGAAGTCCAAGGTCTGGTCTTCAAAGTCAGGCTGCGCCGAGATCTCCACGTCTGTTTCTGTTTTCAGGAATTTTCCAAGTCTGTTGGTATAAAAAGGCACACTAGCAAGAATGGAGGGGCATTTTCCTCAGGGTCTAGCTATTGTGCTGGGCCACTAGCAATAAACGAAGAAGCCTCTTTGTGGAACTTTTATTTCTTTATTTTAACACGCTGCTGGCCGCCTTTGGCCATCTGCTTCGGTGACTGACCCAGGAGGTCACCAATGGGGATGGGCGGGATTGGCTTGTGCATTCAAAGGGAGAAGATGGGGTGGGATGTCAGAGAGCGCGGTGGGGGGTCATATGCCAATGAGTTCCAGATCCACAGCCTCTGACAGCACCCCTGGTGACCCAGAAGCTCCCGCCCCGATGCCACCCCAAGATGTACAGCCTCTCCGCAGCTTCCCCTCCACAAGGCCAAGTGCCCTCAAGTTGCTGACCCAGGACCGGGGCTCTGGGTCTTCTTGCACCTGCTTCCTGGCAGTCACAGCATTTGTAAGTGGCAGAGGCAGACTTTGAAACCAGATCTGTCTTTCGCCAAAACCCATGCACTTAACCCTCACATTATTAAGCTTCAGTGTCCATCTTGCTTTACAGACGTGGTCTCATTTAATTCTCACAAAACGATCCTTGTTTGTAGATAAGGAAGGTGGGTCCTTGACTGATTAGACTTGCCCAAGGTCATGGGGGTAGCAGGATTTGAACTCCTGTCTGACTCTGTAACGTGCATGCTCTCCGCAGTGCACAGTCTGGGTCCTGGCACAGCTGGGGGGCTCTGGGGACACTCTCTGGATCTTGGTTCCTCCTGGTGAAATAAGGGGCTTGTGGAGGAGATGTGACCATGAGTTTGCTGGCTGGGCGTCATCACAGGCTCCCTTCCAGCCCTGAGATTCAGTACTAGCAGGTCCTTGTGACCCTACACCGTCCTTCCAAAGCCAGTGCCATTTAACCTCAGAGGCAGACACAAGAGCTGAAACTGGGAGCATATAACCAAGTGGAACTGAGTCCATTTGGATATCTAGAGGTGAAAGAAAACACATGTCAGAACAAAAGTATTACCTGTCAGCCATAGCCACAGCATCCTAAAAAGGAGGAGAAAAGATTAAGTTGATTTTGGAAATAAATTTCTTTTTCAAACTATATAATAATATAAACATATTTAAAAGCTTGGAAATTAGGAAGAAGCAAAAATCACCCGTATTCCACACCCTAACACAACCCCCGTTACCACGCCTGTGTATTTTCTCCCATACACTGCTTGTTTCCATTCACATGATATAAGCACTTTCCATGTTACGTATGGTCCTTTGGACCATCAATTTGAAACTCTGAGAAGTGTTCATTGAGTGGGAACTCCATCGTTTACTTAACCTTCCCTCTATTTTTGGACATTCTGGTTCTTTCCAACTTTTTGCCATCATAAATAACAGCGAGAAGAACATCTTCATGTGTATCACTTTCTCCACATTCTGGGTTATGTCTCTGAGACACAGTGGTACCATGGGACCACTGGTTCGAAAGGTCTAAGCATTCAGGGCTCTAATGGTGCCTGCCAACTTGCCTTCCAGCCTCAGTCACAGGTCCCTCGACCCAAGCCGGGCAGGAAGGAGGCGCTCTTGGGCTTTGAGGGGTGACTATGGGCTTGGTCAGTGTGGCAGCCATATTTGGCAACCAGGAAGCTCTGCGGGCCAAAGGCTCCTCCCTCACATCCTGGACACCACAACTGCCCCGTATTCCTGTGGGACCCCACCTCTGACAGAGATTGAAATTCCCACAGCCCAGCTGCATGGGAACATGGAGTCTGATTTAACTGGATTTCAAGGAAATGAAGAAATGGATTTTTTTTTACAAGTCTGAATTTATGAAGTAAGATTTATAACTGCTGCATTCATAACTGGGAAATTGGAGGTACGTTTTTGGGGAGAATTTTCTCCCCAGCGCCCCAAGAAGCCATCAGGGGCTGGAAAGCTCTCAGCGAACTGTTTTTGCACAGTTCCAGGATGAGGGAACAGATCCGTAGGTAATCAGGACAGATGAACAAAGACTCTGGTGTTACCTGAGCGATGGTGGAGGGCAGGAGTCAGCTGTGAATGAGCCTGCTCAGCCACTTATGGCGAAGCTGTGCAGAAAGATGGGGTGACAACCTCACCCTTGTGAATATCCAGTGGAATCAGATGGCAGCTGACCATAAAGTCAGTTCCAAAACCTCCAGGTGAACAGGAGACAACCTAACCTACTCCAGCCATCACTGTCCCTCCCCTTCATTACTGACCTTTATGAAATCGACCTTCTCTTCATGACACATCTCCTCTATGGTTTCCATCAGTTCTTTACAGGTGTCCAGGTTTTCTCCACAGCTGACCAGTTGTCCATATAAGGCTTCTAACTTCTCTTTCTTCTTCTCCCCTAGAACTTGTATTTTTTCTTCATATTTCTGAGCCAGTGTTTCCAAGATCTCATTGTAATGTGACTCGAAGTTTTGTTCCTGTCTTCCAAAATTTTCCTGCAAGACAGTTCACTTCAGTCATCACTTCAGTGCATGTGGTGTGTCCACAGCTGAGTCATTTGGGGCATGAAAATGTATCTACATTGTGGCTATTTTAGTCCCTCCACGTTGTCTTATCATCTCTTGCCAGGGTGCTGTGGTGGACCCTGGGGGAGCTGGGACACAGGAGTCTCCAGCTAGAACCTCAAGGATAATCTTAGCAAAAAGCACTGCTTTCTCTCCTGGCAGCATTTTGCATCCTCCTCTCCCCACTTCACTTTAGCCACCTCCCATCACCATGACAACTGAGCAAGGAGATGAGTCAGCCTGCTACAGGAACCTCAGACCTTAACATGGAGACGTTTGCTCCAGGATATTCCCACCCATCTTTCCTTCCTGAGCTCTCAACATCACATGATACTCATCTCCACTCCCTGATGCTCAGATTATACAAACACCAGGAGCACACAGATCCTCACATCAACTAAGAGAAAGATGAAGGCGAGGGGGAATAAGGGTTGTGGCCAGATGGTGCTACCTAATAGATGAGAAAAGGCAAGAAGACAGAGGGAGGGTTGAGACCATACATAATCCTGGGGCACAATGGATGAGAAATATTAGAGCACATCGACTCCTGGTCCCCATTCCTTATATTGGAAGCCCAGGAGAGCTCTGCGGGTTCTGACTGATGTCATCCTCATCTGATAACAGGGACTTCCAAAGAAGAGGCTCTTATCAATCATTCAGGGGATACTTACTGAACACCTACTATGTGTGTAAGAATTTCTTAGAATGGCAGCAGAGAGGGAAAGCAGTAGATGACTCCCCTGTGTTGAGTGTAAAAGGAAGAGCTCAGAGTCCTCACTCAGGTGAAGACACTTTGACCTGAGAGTGAGCTGGTGGTGCAGAGTGCAGGGAGCTCTGTCCTGGCTGTTGCAGACTGACCCCTCCCACCACCAGCCTGTGCTTGGAAGGGGAAGGGCTTGTCCTTTCTCTGTGCCTTCCACAGGGCATGAGTGCAATAGCTCTCCTCACTTTTAAGATTGGAGCAAAGGAGGGCAAGCTTCACAGGAAAGGGGCCTGGAGCTTAGCTAATTCCTATGAGGTGCTCCTGTTGATACACTCTGAGGCTGCATTAATAGGAGTAGAGCATCCACACAAAGAGAGGGGAGACAGAAGGCCCCCTGGTCCTCGTCCTGGTCTACCTCATCTGAAGGGTTAGCCTGAGCACTAGCATTACAGTGATATACCATATACCTACTAGGCACACCCAGGGGACCATGACATGTTTGGTGGCAGGCACAGAGATGTACTAATCTTATGGAAAATATATAAGAGATGAGGAAAAGCACACTTATTAATGACAGGATAGGTGTCTCACAATGCCCTGTCAAGGCTGGCCCATGAAAGAGTCCTACCTTGTAGTAGGACTGGGGATATACAGACACAGAAGACACAGTCTCCCCACTGAGAGCTTATAGTTCTGTAGGGATTGCCTACAGGTAATTGGTGATGAGGCACATGCCCAAGGTGCCATGGGAGGGCAGGGGAAGGGGTGAGGGGAGAGGGGCAGTAGTGATGCTGCACGTTCTAAGAAAATAGATTCTCCAACTCATACCAGACACAGCTGCTGACCTAGGTGCTGATGGAAGCAACATGTGTCTGGTGGGGTTATCACATGTGCTCTTACCTCCACAGTGATGAAAACCTCTTCTAAGTGACTTGCAAAATTTTCCATCTCGATAATCTGCTTTTCCAATTTGTACATATTTTTGTGAATTTCATCCTATCAAACAGAGGATCAGAGAGTGACGTCAGCAACATGGCAGAGTGAGCTGTTCCCTTTGTCCCCCTTTTGAACTACAACTAAATGGACATTCATTCACCAATGGAGGAAGCCCACACAGCACAACAAGGTGCCTGAGAGACACACACAGCTATGCACCTGAGGGTGGATGGACTGGTCCTCCAGGAAGTGGTGAGGTAGGTGAGCACTCCCTGCCCTCCCCCAGCAGCCCTGTGCACACGTACCAATGCTTTCTACCCTGGCGTGAGTGCCCGAAAGTGGCAACATGTCCCTGGGTGACTGGAGGAAGAGGTGGTGGCAGCCCTTAGCATGCTCATGATCACTTTCCTGGTTGGGGGGAGCCCGCCATGCCCCTGCAGCCCCAAGGAGTGGCCCTAGGTCGGTCCCATAAGGAAGCCCCTCCCACCAAGCACAGCAGCTGGCAGAACCGCAAGCACAGGTGTGGCAGATCTACTTGCTGGGTAAGTACACTCCAGGCCCAGGCGAGTGCCCATAGTACCGCTGAGCCCCAGAAGTGGGAGCAAGCCCTAGAGTAACTGTAGGAAGAGGTGGCAGGAAGAGGTGGTGGCAGCCCTTATCTCACTTGTGATCACTTTCCCAACAGTGGGGGAGCCCATGGTGACCCTCGGCCCCATGAGCGGCTCTGGCTCAGTCCCTGAGAGGAAGCCCCACCCACCAAGCACAGTCCACATCAGCACCTGAATGCCCTCCAGGCCAGTGCAAGAGCCCATAGTACCCCCAAAACTTCCAGCAGACTGGGTGGGACCAGAAACTCTGCTCCTGCTTACCCCTAGTGGTAGCAGGTGGAATCTGCAAGCTGATATTACCAAAAATGCCCTGACAAAAGATTAGTTCATCAAACACCATGAGAAACTGCAGCAACAATTCAGACCAGAAGGAAAATGACAATTCTCCAGAAACCAACCCTGAAGGCACAGAAATTTACAATCTAATGACAGAGAATTCAAAATAGCTATCATAAAGAAACTCAATGAGTTACAAGAGAACACAGAAAGACAGTTCAATGAGCTCATGAATAAAATGAATCTCTTCACCAAAGAGATTGAAACCATAAAAAAAAGTCAAGCAAAAATTCTGGATATGAAAAACACAATTAATGAAACAAAAATTAATCTAGAATGCCAAAGAAACAGAGCTGATGTTACAGAGGAAAGAATTAGTTATTTAGAGGATAAAAATATAGAAACGCTACAGGGGGAGGAGGAGCAAGAAGTAAGATTTTTTTAAAATGAAGGAATTCTTTGAGAAATATCTGACACAATTAGGAAAAGCAACATAAGGATTATAGGTATTCAAGAGAGAGAAGAGAGGAAGAAAGGAGCAGAGAGCTTGTTCAAAGAAATAATAGTTGAGGACTTCCTCAACCTGGGGAAGGAACTGGATTTACAAATACATGAAGCTAACAGAACTCCTAATTACATCAATGCTAAAAGACCCTCTCCAAGGCATATCATAGTAAAACTGGCAAAAGTCAATGACAAAGAAAAAAATAAGAAGAAAATAACCTACAAAGGGAGAAATTAACAGCAACGCAATAACAGTAGGGGACTTCAATACTCTACTTATGTCAATGGACAGATCATCTGGACAAAAAGTTAACAAGTAAATAGTAGATTTAAACAAAACACTCGATCAGATGGACTTAATAGATACATAGAGAGGATTCCATCCAAAAAGAGCAGAATACACATTCTTCTCAAGCGCACATGGATCATTCTCAAAGATAGACAATATGTTGGGAAACAAGGCAAGCCTGATAAATTTAAGAAGGTTGAAGTCATCTCAAGCATCTTCTCCAACCATGACATTATGAAACTAGAAATCAACTACAAGAAAAAAAGATGGGAAAGTCAGAAATATGTGGAGACTAAACAACATGCTACTGAACAACCATTGGATCAATGAAGAAATCAAAGGAGAACTTTAAAAATACCTGGAGACAAACAAAAATGAAAATACAAAATATTAGCTCCTATGAGATGTGGCAAAAGCATTCATAAGAGGGAAATTCATAGCAATACAGGCCCACCTCAACAAAGAAAAATCTCAAATAAGTAATCTTAAACTGTGCCTAATAGAACTAGAAAACGAAGAATGAACAAAGCCCAAAGTCAGCAGAAGGAGGGAAACAATAAAAATCTGGGCAGAAATAAATGAAATAGAGACAAAAAACAGTAGAAAGGATTAATGAAACTAAGAGCTGGATCTTCGAGAAAATAAACTAAATTGACAAACCCTTAGGCAGACTCACTAAGAAAAAAAAGAGAGAAGGCTCAAATAAATAAAATTAGAAATGAAAGAGGAGAAATTACAACAGATACTGCCAAAATACAACTTTCTGCACTAAACCTGCAGAAAATGTATATGCCCCAAAACTGGATAACCTAGAAGAAATAGATAAATTCTTAGACTCATACAACCTCCCAGAACTGAATCAAGAAGAAATAGAGATTCTAAATAGACTAATTACAAGCAAAGACATCGAAACCGTAATCAAAAACCTCCCAAAAAACAAAAGTCTAGGACCAGATGGCTTCTCTGGATAATTCTACAAAACATTCAAAGAAGATTTAATACCTATCTGTCTCAAACTACTCCAAAAAATTGAAGAAGATGGAACACTTCCTAACTCATTGTATGAGGCCAACATCACTCTGATACCAAACCCAGACAAGGATAATCCAAAGAAGGAAAATTACAGGCCAATATCACTAATGAACATAGATGCAAAAATCCTCAACAAAATATTGGCAAACCAAATACTGCAATACATTAAAAGGATCATACCCCATGATCAAGTAGGATATATACCAGGGATGCAGGGATGGTTCAACATCCACAAATCAATCAATGTGATACACCACATTAACAAAATGAGGAATGAGAATCTCATGATTATTTCAATAGATGCAGAGAAAGCATTTGACAAGATCCAACACCCATTTATGATAAAAACTCTCCATAAAATGGGTATAGAAGGAAAGTACCTCAACATAATAAAGGCCATATATGAGAAACCCACAGCCAACATCATACTCAATGGGTAAAAACTGAAAGCCATCCCTCTGAGAAGAGGAACAAGACAAGGGTGCTAACTCTTGCCACTCTTATTCAACATAGTGCTGAAGGTTTTGGCCAGGGCAATTAGGTGAGAAAAAGAAATAAAAGGAGTCCAGATTGGAAAGGAAGAAGTGAAACTCTCACTGTTTGCAGATGACATGATTCTATCTATAGAAAACCCTAAAGAATCCAACAGAAAACTATTAGAAATAATCAACAACTACAGCAAAGTTGCACAGTACAAAATCAACGTACAAAAATCACTTGCATTTCTATACACTAAAAACAAATTAGGAGAAAGAGGACTCAAGAATACGATCCCATTTACAATTGCAGCAAGAATAAAATATCTATGAATAAACTTAACCAAAGAGGTGAAAGACCTAAACACTGAAAACTATAAGACATTATTGAAAGAAATTGAAGAAGACATAAAACAATGGAAAGATATTCCATGCTCATGGGGTGGAAGAATCAACATAGTGAAAATGTCCAAACTTCCTAAAGCAATCTACAGATTCAGTGCAATCCCAATCAGAATCCCAATGACATTCTTCATGGAAATAGAACAAAGAATCTTAAAATTTATATGGAACAACAAAAGATCTCGAATAGCCAAAGGAATCCTAAGGAAATAAAAACAAAGCTGGAGGCATCACAAGCCCTAACTTCAAAATATACTACACAGTTATAGTAATCAAAACAGCATGGTACTGGCACAAAAACAGACACACAGATCAATGGAACAGAATTGAAATCCCAGAAATAAAACCACATATCTAGGGGCAATTAATCTTCAACAAAGGAGCTGAAAACATACAATGGAGAAAGGAAAATCTCTTCAATAAATGATGTTGGGAAAACTGGACAGCCACATGCAAAAGAATGAAAGTAGACTATTATCTTGTACCATACACAAAAATTAACTCAAAATGGATTAAAGACTTATATGTAAGACCTGAAACTGTAAAACTCCTAGAAGAAAATATAGGCAGTACACTATTTGACATTGGTCTTAGTAGCATCTTTTCAAACACCATGTCTACTGAGGCAAGGGAAACAAAAGAAAAAGTTAACAAACGGGACTACATCAGACTAAAGAGCTTCTGCAAAGCAAAGGAAACCTTGAACAAAACGAAAAGACAACCTACCAACTGGGAGAAAATATTTGCAAATTATTTATCAGACAAGGGGTTGACCTCCAAAATATGTAAAGAACTCAAACAACTCAACAACAAAAAAACAAACAACCTGATCAAAAGATGGGCAGAAGATATGAAGAGACATTTTTCCAAAGAAGACATACAGATGGACAACAGACACATGAAAAGATATTCAACATCACTAATTATTAGGGAAAGGCAAATCAAAACTACAAGGAGATATTGCTTTCACCAGTCAAAATGGCTATAATTACCAAGACAAAAAGCAACAAATGTTGGAGAGGATGTGGAGAAAAGCAAACGGTCATACACTGCTGGTGGGAATGTAAACTGCTACACCCACTATGGAAAACAGTATGGAGATTTCTCAAAAAATTAAAAATAGCAATACCATACAATCCAGCTATCCCACTACTGAGTATTTATCCAGAGATCTTGAAATCAATGATCCAAAGAGATTTATGCACCCCTATGTTCTTTGGAGCATTATTCACAATAGCCAGCACGTGGAAGCAACCCAAGTGCGCTTCTACAGATGAATGGATAAAGAAGATGTATATATATACAGTAGAATACTACTCAGCCATAAAAAAAAGACAAAATCATCCCATTTGCAACAACATGGATGGACCTGGAGGGTATGATTTTAACCGAAATAAGCCAGACAGAGAAAGACAAATACTGCATGATTTCACTCATATGTGGAAGATAACAAACACAAGGATAAAGAGAACAGATTAGTGGTTACCAGAGGGGAAGGGGGTTGAGGGGTGGGCAAAAGGGGTAAAGGGGCACATATGCTTGGTAATGACAAAAATTAGACTACTGGTGGTGAGCATGATGAAGTCTATTCAGAAATTGATAAATAATAGTGTACACCCGAAATTACACAGTCATAAACCATTATGATCTCAATAAAATTACAGGAGAAAAAAATGAAAAACAGAGGCTCACAAGATGTTACTGTTACATCTTTTCCCTCTCCCTTTTGTAGAAGGCATTTTAGATTTATTTCCTGCCTGCATACTTGAGATAGAAATGCAACATCAAGAGAAAGAAGAACCAAGGAGACCTATTTACCTTGGCGCTCTCCAGGGCTTTATTGAGTGGGGTCACCTCATGTTCTTTGTGTTCATCAAAAACCTTCTCCAATGCTCTTATTGGAGTTTTGCAAGTGACACAGAAGACGTCGGCAGCTTCTTCCTCGTCCTCCTCCTCTGGGATGACGTAGCATTCATACTCCTCACTGGCACGGCCGTGTGTGTACCTATAGGCTTCTCGCAAGTCCTGGCACTGGCCTGCTGAGCCCCACCCTCCGAAGCCCAGGTCCTGGGTCTCAGCTGCCTCTGCACTAAGTCTCCAGTCTCTCTGCTCCCTGGCTGGTTCTCTCCTCGTCATCCCATAAGGAGGATATTCTGAAACCTCTATTCTGGGCGTGGTTTCATCAACAAACTCATCCCCCAGTTCATGATCATCTTCAAGTCCGTATAAATGGACAAGTTCGTCCACTTCCTCTTCGAGGTCTCTTTGAGTCTTACCTTTCACTGCCCCTCTTGGCTCACTGGTCATTTCAGCTTGGACGACTTCTCTTGTCATCCGAGTGTTTTCTTCTGGGAAGATTTGCAGTCTGTCTTCAGAGTCATACAGATCCATGTGATAAAAGTGGAAGTTATGGGGGGCAGTAGACCTGTGCAGCCCGGGTGTCTCCCCCGCTTCCTCCTCCATCATAGGTCTGGAAGACCTGGGCAGCACCTGTGCACAAGAAGGAGCCTTCCTGGGCAGTTAGTAGTGGATATCCCAGGCCTAGAAGACAAAAAGAGGAAGGAAACTCCGTTTCTGAGACAGTCATTGCAGGAGAAAGTCATTAGCTTGCGCTTTATCCATTCACAACTTTTTAAAAGTGAGAAGCTCACTTGTGGTTCTACTTTGAACTATCTGTAAAGAAAGATTTGCTTTCTACAGGAGGATGGACTTTCCAAGCTTAAAAGAGACAGAAGAAATTACAAAAGAAACACAAATAGATTTGACTAACAATCTACTCTTATACATGAAAAAAAACCCTCAAAAGGCAAAATAATGGGAAGTGTCTCCGGCAATTATTATTAAACAAATTGTATAAACTAATTTTAAAAATTAATATCTCAATAGATTACCTACTGTGCAAGGACAATTCACAAAATAATTACTTTTGTGTATAATATCACCTGTACGAAAACATTTAGAGAACGGTCCGTCCTTGAGAGTAACAGAGAACAAATAAATAAGATGTCATTTTGCCTTTCCAGTTAGCAAATACTTAAAAATAGAAAACTGATACCCAAGGCTGGGTGCGGGTGCAGTGAAGCGCGTACTCTCATGGGCTGCTGGTTGGAATGTAAACCGGCCCTGCCTCTTTGGAGAGCAAACTTGGCAACATGGATCAGGAGCCTTAAAGCTGTGCACACTCTTTAATCTAGCTTTCCCTGAGGAAAAATGTCAAATACAGGGGAAAAATTTTTTTCTATTTAAAAATATCCACCACAAAATTTTTTAGAATAGCAAAAAAGCATTGGAAAAGGCCTGCTGCTTAGGGGAATGGTTAAGTAATGTAGGATATTACACTCCATAGAATATAATGCTGCCTTTAAAATGGTTAGGGAGAGCTAATGATAACTTGGAAAAAGATTCACAATCTGATGTTAAATAAACAGAATACTCATTATATATAGACTATGATAACCACTATTTTAGTGGAAGTACATAAAATCTAGAGAAAAATAGTAATAGTAGTAGTAAATGCAATGTTAGTAGTAGCTACTACTTATTGCGCACTTGCTGTGTGCTATGCAGTTCATGTACATTGTCTTGTCCTCATATCAACCCTAAATGGTAGGTGCTGCTGTTATCTCCATCTTACAGAGGAGGAAACTGTGACTCAGAGAGAGTATCTTGTGCGAGGTCACATAGTTAGTAAGTCATTGAACTGGGGTTTGAACCTTAGTCTGGGTGGTGGCCACAAGGATGTGGTGGCAGATATGCAACTACAGCGAGCGTGACTGACCAGGGGTTTCAGCTGCAGTCTGAAGCTCATCAAGATATTTGCATAGAGGACATGCTTCCCATGGGCATCTCCCATCCAGTGACAGAGTGTAGCAAGGATACTAAGGCAGATCCGTTTCTGGTTGACACAAAACCACTCTGATGGCAAATTTTGGCTGGAGCCTTGCCAAACCTTTCTTAGAGGGCATGGCAGTCTCGGACGCTTCCTGCAAACCTCTCCTCCTTTCCTCCTTCTCTTGGGGTCAGACTTGAATCACGACAAGACAGCTCTCAGCCTTTCCTATCTTGCTCCCTATTTTATCTCACACAGGCGTTTCCCCTAATGAAATTCTTGCACATTTCATCCCGTCTGGTGCCTGCTTCTTGCAGGACTTAAGTTTAACACAAACTGTTAGACTTCAAAGCCCCTGCTTTCTTCCTAGCACACGACTGCCATTGTGTTATATTAATTATTTTTTTGTAATATTTTTACTGATACATAATTCACATACTGTACAATTCACCTGTTTAAAGTGTGTGATTCAATGGTTTCAGTATATTTGCATTTACGTGCAACAATCACCATAGTCAATTTTAGAACATTTTCACCATCTCAAAAGGAAACCCTGCACTCTCTAGCTATCACTGCCTACAGTCCTTCATTTAACCAGCGCTAAGCAACCACTGATCTACTTTCTGTCTCTATTGCTTTTTTGTGTGGACATTTCATGCAAATGAAATCAAATCAAATATGTGTTCTTTTGTGACTGGCTTCTTTCTTAGCATGATGTTTTCAAGGTTCAGCCATGTTGTAGCACGAGTCAGCACTTCATCCCTTTGTAGAGTGGGATAATAGTTCATAGTATTGATATGTCATATGTTGTTTATCTATTCATCAGTTGATTTGCATTGTTTCTCATTTCATTTGGGTTGTTTTCATCTTTTGGCTATTATAAAGAACGCTAGGTACTTATGAATAAATACCTAGGAGTGGGATTGCTAGGTCAAATGGTAACCCTATGTCTAACTTTCTGAGGAGCTGCCAAACTGTTTTCCAAGGTCGTTGCCCCATTGTATATTCCTACCAGAAGTGTATGAAGGCTCTGATTTCTCCACATCCTTGTCAACACTTGTTATCATCTGACTTTTTGATTATAGTAATACTAGTGGATGTGAAATAGTATCTCACTGTGGTTTTGATTTGCATTTTCTTTCTTTCTTTTTTTTTGAGGAAGATTAGCCCTGAGCTAACATCTGCTGCCAATCCTCCTCTTTTTGCTGAGGAAGACCAGCCCTGAGCTAACATCCGTGCCCATCTTCCTCTACTTTATACGTGGGAGGCCTGCCACAGCATGGCTTGCCAAGCAGTGCCATGTCCGCACCCGGGATCCGAACCCATGAACCCCGGGCTGCCGAAGCAGAATGTGTGCACTTAACCACTGCGCCACTGGGTCGGCCCCTGCATCTTCTTGATGAATAACGATGTCAGGTTTTTTTCATGTATTTATTGGCCATTTGTATATCTTTTTGGAGAAATGTCTATTCAAACATTTGCTCATTTTTAAATTGAGTTAATTGAAATTATCAGATAAATGATTTGCAAATATTTTCTTGCATTTTGTGGATTGTCTTTTCACATTCTTGATAGTTCTCTCTGAAGCATAAAAGTTTTTAATTTTGATAAAGTCTAATTTATCTATTTATTCTTTTGTTGCCTGTGCTTTTGGTATCATATCTAAAAATCTATTGCCAACCCTGAAGTTAAACCAAACTTGCCTTCCTAGAATGAATCCCACTTGGTCATAATGGATAATTTTTTAATATGTTATTGGATTCAGTTTGCTAGTATTTTGTTGAGGAATTTTTGCATTCATATTCCTAAGAGATATTGGCCTATAGTTTTCTTTTCTTGTGATGTCTTTGTCTGGTGTGGGTATCAGAGTAACACTGTCCTCATAGAATGAATTGGGAAGTGTCCCTTCTCTTCTATCTTTTGAAAGAGCTTATGAAAAATTGGTTAATTCTTTAAATGCTTGGTAGAACTCACCAGTGAAACCATCTGGTCCCGGGATTTTCTTTGTGGGTAGTTTTTTATTATTACTAATTCAATCTCTTTACTTATTATAGGCCTATTCAGATTATCTAATTCTTCCTGAGTCAGTTTTGGAAGTTTGTTTCTTTCTACGAATTTGTCCATTTCATTTAAGTTGTCTAATTTATTGGAATACAGTTGTTCATAGTATTCCTTTTTAATCCTTTTTATTTCTGTAAGGTTGGTAATAGTTTGAATCTTTTCTTTTTCTTGGTCATCTAACTAAAGGTCTATCAATTTTGCTGATCACTTTAAAGAAGGAGCTTTGGGTTTCTTTGATTTGTCTCTCTTGTTTTCCTATTCTCTTTTTCATTAATTTCTGCTCTAATCTTTATTATTTCCTCCCTTCTGCTTGCTTTACTTAGTTTGCTCTTCTTTTTTCAGTGTCTTAAGGTAAAAGATTAGGTTATTGATTTAAGATTTCTTCTTTTTAAATATAGGCATTGGCAGCAATAAATTTCCCTCTAAGCACTACTTTCACTGCATCCCACAGGTTTTGGTAAGTTTTATCTTCATTTTCATTCATCTCAAAGTATTTCCTAATTTCCCTTTTATTCTTTGGTCCATTGGTTATTTGGGAGTGTGTTGTTTAATTTTCACATATTTGTGAGTTCCCCAAATTTCTTTCTGATATTGATTTCTAATTGCATTCCTTTGTCGTTAAAGAACACATTTTGTATTATTTCTACCCTTTTAAATTTATCGAGGTTTGTTTCATGGCCTAGCATTTTCTCCATCCTGAGGAATGTTTCCTATGCCTTGAGAAGGATGTGCATTCTGCTGTTGTTGAATGGAGTGTTCTACAGATGTCTGTAAAGTACAGTTGGTTTACAGCATTATTCGTCTTCTATTTCCTTGTCAATCTTCTTAGTGGTTCTATTCTTTGTTGAAAAATAGAGCATTGACGTCTCCAACTGTTATTGATGAGTTGTCTATTTCTCCCTTCATTTATGTCAGTTTTTGCTTCATGTATTTTGATGCTCTGTTGTTAGGTGCATATACATTTGTAACTGTTATAAATTCCTCATGGATTCACCCTTTTATGATTATAAAATGTCCCTCTTCCTCTCTAATAACATTTTTTGTTTTAAAGTCTATTGTTTCTAATGTCAGTATAGCCACTCCAGCTTTCTCGCAATTGTTGTTTACATGATACATCTTTTCCCATCCTTTTTGTCTCATCTACTTATATCTTTGAACCTAAAGTGTGTCTCCTGTAGACTGCATATAGCTGGAAGTATTAATTATTAATTTTTATTATATATTAATTATGACAAACTTCCTAAGAATTTCTACATGACAATGCTGTGCCTTTTTCAGTGTAACAAAATGGCATTTTCTATAAAATAACATACCTTATTCCTAAGAAAATTCCTCCTCAGAATCTGAAAATTAAAATTTCAACCCTCAACTTCCATGCAGGATAGTAAACCAGAGGTTAGGAAAGAAGATTGGCATCTACAATTCTGCCAAGAACTGAAGACGTAACATTGGAGGAAGACGGTTTATTACAAAGAAGTATTAAGCTGTGATGATAGAGTGACTATAAAATTAGGAAGAGAACTCTAAAAGATACCCTAAAGCTGAGGGAAATTACTTAAGGAAGGATAAACTTGAAAGAAGGCTTAGATCTTGAAGAAGTTGGGATTGTAACCTATTTCATGGCAAATAAATTCACTAACTAGTCCTGGCC